TTTTTTGTAAAATAGCAAATATAGAAAATCATTAAACGGTGTTGGCTAATGAGAATGTGGGCTGTGTGTAACAGTACAGGGGGGGGGGGGGGCTAGAAGAAAGTTATTTGGTGAGGTAAAAAATGTGAGGGGCGATGTAGGGAAAAATGGGGGTGGTGGGGGGGGGGGTTAAAATTGAACATTTAAGTCGCGGCGAGATAGGATGAGTGCAGAGGAGGAGGTGGGTAAAGTAGATTTTGTAAGGGGTGCAGGGAGGGGGTAAGATTGGGGATTAGATTGGAAAGATTGTTGAGATGATGGAAGAGATCTTGTAAGGGATGGGAGATGGGTTTTTTTGTGTGGGCTGGGGGAGATGTGGGGGATGTGTTAGTTGCGAGTTGAGGGGTTGGGTGTGAGGTGCATGAAGTTTGGTGTTACTGTGGGGTGGGGGTGGCTTGGTGTTAATGTGGGGAAGGGGTGGGTGAAGCTTGGTGTTACCAATAAACTACATGTCAATAGATTTTACGAAAGTGATGAAATATTTGTATACATATTGAAGCCATTTTGCATGCTGCACTGTGTTGAGTAGTGTTAGCTGGTTTGTATGGTTTTTGTGTGAGGTACGTATGTTTTTTTTTTATTCAGTATAAACCTAGGTTTTAAATAAAACTTTTTTTTTCTTAATTTCGTTTGAATTGAACATATATTTTTACAAAAATATTATAGATTACTATGTCACAAAACAAGGCATTTCTTTTTTAAATCAACTTTTGCAGCCTGTTTAAGTTTTGGAAAGAACTTTTGCTAACATTTCAGATTTTTACAAAATATAATTTTCAAACTTGTTCCTGTCCTTAGAAATAACAAAATGTAAAATGTAATTACGAAATTACTTAATTTCCTTTTTACACATAATGGTAGCACTCTTCATACAGTATGTTAGAAAAGAAAAAAATGAGACTGTATTGAGAAAAATGAAATAAAGCTGTGAAGAGATTGTCCCCCCTTGGACGAGGAAATAACAGAATTACCGCCCTTTGACAATCGCTCTCCATTTCCTCATGAAGCCCTTGAAGATTGAAAGTGAAAATGGTAATCGGATGAGAATGATCGTCATAGTAACCAGCAACGCTGTCTCCAGTCCTCTCAGCCCCTGTCCTTCTTTTAATAATGCGGTCGATCCTGTCTTGTTCGGCCATGGTAGCTCCCTCTAGTGCTGCTCGAGCGAGCAGTCAAGGGGCAGGAACTCGAGTTTCTTGATTCACTTGGTTTTAGTTTTAATTCGCCCAGTTTTATAGTGCATTTGTCCCTTAGTTAGCACAGGCGAATAGAATAGTGTAAAGGACATCAAAAATATGACTGTTAGATTTTATATAATATTAAGACATTATAAGGTGAACTCGCTCAAGTTAGCAACACACATATGCATATATATACACAAATGCAAAGATTCTGATAAAAAATATACTTGCAGCACACCTACATAAATACACACACATACATACACATACACAAATAAAAATATACCATCAGCAAACATACGCACACATATATTCACAAATAAAAAAATTTACCGGCAGCAAAACCTATTCATTGACCGAAATAAAAAAGCAAAAAAATAAATAAATAAATAAATTTTAAAAAATGTTTAATTGTAAAAAAAATTGTAAACAGCAATTAACTACAAAGTAAATTTTCTGTTTCTTAATATTGTAATTATTTGTATTTTTTGTGATATTTTATCTAGGGGAGCTAAACTAGAATATCAATGATCTAACAAAGTGTACTTTCAATGCAAATAATGTTATATTATATATATATATATATATATATATATATATATATATATATATATATATATATATATATATATATATGAGATACGATAATCATTCTTATATTGTGATTCTAGTAGTAGCACAAATACCAGACTTATATTGAATGTACAAATAAATGGAAACGTCTGTCTGCGCTGAATTACTTCCCTTGCTGTAGGAGTCGCAGGGACGTTAATAAAAATAATTTTGCGATGAAAAAGAGTTAACGATGAATTACTTCCCCTATTAGGGTAATGTGTGGTTCATGTTAACACTGGCCCTGATTGGAACGAAAGGACTGTCATTTGACTGGGCCAGACCCACAATCATCGAATCAGAGGAGCAGCTCGTATAGTTTGTAGGGCGCTCTCTTGGAAAGTTAGAACAGGAATTATGTCTCAGGAGAGGAATATCACATTTTATATCTCACGGCTTTTAAAGACTGCTAACAAGGCATTAACTAAAGGTTTAAAAAAAAAGTTTTAGATGACCTAAGACTAGCAAATAAAAAAATTTCCGAGATACAGTGAAACGTTTTTTTCAGTAGAAGTGTTTGATTCACTTTGTCTTTGACACAAGAACTCTCCACAGAAATTTTACACTAACGAAAAAACACTCAGGAAACATGTCTAAGGTTGCTGACGTTATCTCGATATAATTAATATGTGAGACGGCATGGTCAAATAGTAGAGCGCTCGTCTGCTAACCCGAAAGTCTAGAGTTTGGGTTCCTGTTTAGAGGTAGTATCTTTCTGAGTCCACTCAGCTCCGATGGGTACCTGACTTACGTTAGGGAAAGTAAATGCGGCTGAGCCTATTGCTGACCACATTACCCCTTCATACGCAGAGGTCATAGACACAGGTGAACTCTACTTCACCTACCCCGAGAGCGGCTGGTCAAAAAGGAATTTTTATTATAATTAAGGTATATAGAATTAGTAGACATAATGACAGATCAAACTGTTTGGGGTCGGTGCTAAAGGACTATGTCTGGGTGATTAATTGGCCAGATTGGCTCTTTGTTCTTGGCCTGATTGCCAGGATTTTCGCCTGCCTAGTCTCGGTCTCAGCCCGTCCCCCCCCCTCCCCGACTAATCTGGCTAGGACACCGGCTAATCCTGTGTGACACACCAGCGCAGGAAATTGCTACACTAAGACGCGAATCCCGTTTTAATCTCGTGGTGCCACGGACGGTCGCTGACGTCGTGTTGGGGGGGGGGTGTGTGATGGGCTCTGGGGTGTGATGGGTGTGTGTGTATGTGTGTGGGGGGGGGAAGGGGGGATGTGATGGGCTGGGTGTGTGTGATGGGTGTGTGTGATGGGTGTGTGTGTGTGATGGGTTGGGTGTGTGTGTGTGATGGGCTGGGTGTGTGATGGGCTGGGTGTGTGTGTTGGTTGTGTGTGTATGTGTGTGTGTGTGATGGGCTGGGTGTGTGTGTGTGTGATGGGCTGGGTGTGTGTGTGTGATGGGTGTGTGTGTGTGTGTGTGTGTGTGTGTGTGTGTGTGTGTGTGTGATGGGCTGTGTGTGTGTGTGTGATGGGCTGGGTGTGTGTGTGTGATGGGTGTGTGTGTGATGGGCTGGGTGTGTGTGTGATGGGCTGGTGTGTGTGTGTGTGTGATGGGTGTGTGTGTGTGTGTGATGGGCTGGGTGTGTGTGTGATGGGCTGGGTGTGTGTGTGTGTGATGGGTGTGTGTGTGTGTGTTTGTGTGATGGGCTAGGTGTGTGTGTGTGATGGGTGTGTGTGTTTCAATGTGTCTGTTTGCACAAGACCAAAGTGTATATACATGTATTTTAAATCACACAAACCTTTGTAAACTTTAACCTCTACTACTTTTCCACTCTTTAACCCTTTAATACTTTTCCAACCTTCAACCCTATCACTTTTCTAACCAACAATTCTCTAACACCCCCCCCCCACCCCCCACCCCACCCCCGCCCTTGCCACCCTCCGTTTATAACGTATTAAAAAAGCAAATTTAGTATTTTCAATTTCCGCCCACTCTCCCTCCATTATTTCCCAAAGAAAAATACGTCGTCTGCTACTAAATTATACAGCACAACTGAGTTTAATGACCGTCCATGATGGCCAGGCATCATTTTCACGAGGTTCCGGTCTTTATGCCAATCGATTTCTTGAAACATTTTAAACCCCTGTGTTTGTATATTTGTGCCATTTTTGTCTTTACATATTTGACCACATATTCACATATTCGACCACATATTCACATATTTGGTCGCAGCTTAGCATATTTGACATCTTAACATATTTGGCCACATATTCACATATTTTATCACGTAATCATATACTTGGTCGCTACTTCACATATTTGACCAAATCTTACATTTTTACAAATCAAAACACATTTTAACATATTTGGTAACATCTTCACATATTTGGCCACATCTTCACATATTTGGCCACTTCTTCACATATTTGGCCACTTCTTCACATATTTGGCCACATCTTCACATATTTGGCCACTTCTTCACATATTTGGCCACTTCTTCACATGTTTGGCCCTTCAACTTTCTTGGTACATCTCCATAGTGTCGAAATCCTGGCACCTAAGATGTTCTAATCATCAGAAAAGAAAGTTTCCTTTCAGACAGTCCATTGCACATCAGTTTAAAGGTCTAAACATGTAGTAGAGATTAACAATAACTTTTTTTCTGCCTTTGATATAACGTAGTAATTTCTACCACACGTTCATGAGGTTGGGTAGGTGCACATTCTACAATAAATCAAATTGATATTAAAAATTGTTTGTTATTTAATTTTTAAAAAAACTACGCTGGATATTGAAACTACGTGTGTAGGTAGGTTATTCAGTTCACGCGAGAAAGTAAAATAGTCCATAATCTTCAAATTGTTCCCCACATTATCTCCATGTACTGTTCCAAATGTATCAAATTAGTGTACTCTATGGTTCCTTAATGGTTCCCATCTACTTGAAACAGTCTCCTAACAGCTCCACAAAGGTGATATCGACGTTCCCGACCCACTTGCTAATGGTCTTGTTTTTTTTTCCGTTAACTCCATGTTACCCAGATGTGTCAGGTCTTCCACGGAAAAAAAAACTAGTTGATATAAGCATGGGCAGTTCTCCATTATGTCAATTTTATAGACCACAATCAACGTGGTATTAGCGAGAAATGAACATACATACAATCTATTTATAACTTTGTGTTTAATTTCCCCGCAGGTGAGCAACCTATTCATCGTGAGCCTGGCTGTCGCTGACGTCATCGTCGGCATCATCGTCATGCCCATGAGCGCCTTCTACATCTTCACGGAGCGCTGGATGCTGGGCGTGGCCGTCTGCCAGATCTGGATAGGGGTGGACTACACCGCCAGCACCGCCTCCATCCTCAACCTCTTCATCCTCAGCCTAGACCGCTACTGGTCGGTCCGCCAGCCGCTCAAGTACCTGCACAAGCGGACCAAGCGGCGGGCCATGAGCATGATCGGGTTCGTGTGGGTCGTCTCCTCCCTGTGGATCATCCCCATCTCTAGCTGGCACTACTTCGCCCACAGCGGGCTCCGGACCGTCCCCAACGACAAGTGCGACACGGAGTACGCTAAAAACTCCTTATTCAAGCTCATCACGGCTTTTTTTAATTTTTACCTCCCCTTGTCTGTGATGTATATACTCTACTTCCGGATATTCATCGCGATACGAAAGCGCTCGGAGTTCGAACTAGGTCAGCGTAACCCAGGCGGAACGGTGCTCGCGTACAAGTCAAACGTTCCAAACTCTATGGACGAGAGTGAGTGTAACGATGACGTGTCCGTGTGTATGGATCACCGCTTGTCTTCTGACGTCAGGCCCAGGGAGAATGGAATCTCAAGGTCACACGTGACGTCATCGGGCCGGAGTCTGCGCGTGCTGGCCATGAAGCGTCACACGACGCCATGTTCGTTCAAAGAGTCGAGCGCGTCGCCGTACAAAGTAGAGTACATCTACGACGAGAACGTCATTGACCCCCAAACGGAAAAGATCGAACGCTACTACTACGAGGACCACTATCCGCTCCCGTGTCTTTCCCGCCCCACGTGGATTGTGGGTAGTGAAAAGTTTACATCCAATCACCGACAGGGGCGTGTGAGGAACGCTCGTGATTTCGCCACGCCCATCAAACTTCCGGCAGGTTCGTCCGTGAGCGGCCCGGCCCCCAAAGACCAGCACCACCCCGGGTACCTGACCGTCGGGTACAAGCACAGCGCCGTCGTGAAGCGCAGCATCTTCCGCCGTCAGAGGAACAGCAACACGGCCGTTCTCAGCAGCATCAAACTAGAGAGCTACCGGAAATACGACAGCGAGGAGACGTCATTTCCGCCCTCGACGGCGTTCAGCGAACCCTTAAACATCTCCTCGTCGTCTTCGTCGTCTGCCAGCACTTTCGGCGACGACAGGCGCAGCAACGACGACCGCCGCGACAACATCCGGGCCGACCCTCACAAGAACCACCGGGACAACTACACCGTGGTGGGCGGGGTACGCAAACTCCGGCAGGTGGAGACGTACCTAGACAAGACGGCTGGGCTGGGTCTCGCATCCAGCGCGAGTATAGACGGCTCCACCTCCAGGAACGGGGACGACTTTGACGGAATTCTCGTCCTACACGACGACAAAAACCGTCGGCTGACCAGCGGCGTGACGGGGATTAAGGAACGGATTAAAACAATCCGTCAGAGCTCCTCGCTCAACAAGGAGATCAAGGCCGCACGCCAGCTGGGGGTCATCATGGGGGCGTTCACCCTCTGCTTCCTGCCCTACTTCATTCTATTTTTAGTCGTCGCCTTCTGCGACAACTGCGTCCGGCCGGGTCACCTGACGGCCGCCACCTGGGTCGGGTACCTCAACTCGACCCTCAACCCCTTCCTCTACCCCCTGTGCAATGTCAACTTCCGGAACAAATTTCGCAGCATGTTCGCCTGCTGCAGTAGGGGCAGGTTACGTCACAGGGCGGGGCAGCAGGAGTACTGTGAGCGCAACACGGCGTTTAACTCGAGATACGATTAACGCACGGCGTTTAACGGTTAACGCCCCTGTCAACATATGCCTATACATCATCTTTAGCTCCGACAGTTGGATACCATCTACACCTACGACACCTGCTCATCAACTACAGCTTCGACAGCTGTACAACATATACAGCTTCGACAGCTTTACACAATCTACTGCTCCGATAGCTGTACACCACCGACACCTTTGGCACCTAGATACCATCTACAGTTTTTTAAGTATGTATAAATAAATATTCCCTGCACAATTTTTGTACAACAAAAACTGTTATATAATGATAATTGTCAAAAGATATTTTTGTGATAAATCGAAGAGAAATTGAGGTTGAAAGATTGTTCATCTACATCAGGGGTCTCCAAACTACGGCCCGCGGGCCGGATGCGGCCCTCGAAGTCCTCTCACCCGGCCCGAGGAGATCTTTTTGTCCAAGGAAAAATTGTTTGTTGGTGATGGCTGAGGAACTTTGCCCAGAAAAATCAAAGACATGCCTGGAATAAACTGGCCCCCGAACTGAAATTTGATTGTTAATGCGGCCCTCGGACTAAAAAGTTTGGAGACCCCTGATCTACATTGTAGGTATAAGAGTATTTGGCGAGAGGGGGGCTAAATAGTCAAGAACACATGCAGTCTTGTGTGGGTAAAATGGAGATTTGAATATGTATGTATGTTGTAAGTAAGATGTACAAGTATAATGTTAGATGGGAGGGGGGTTTCGTTTTTTTAAGGCGCGGTAGAAATTGGAACAAAAATAGATTTGTGTTTTGTGATCAATGTAGAGGAAGAAGAGTGAGGGTCTTTGGCTCAAGTGTTCAGGGCACATCATTAGATGTACTGTGTACTGTGTACAACTGTATATGAGAAAACATCGAATGTCAGTTCACAATGGGTCTAAATGGTCATTAACATTAAAATATTCAACACTTTCATATTGCAGAATTTGTTTTTATCTCATTATTAGCTATTTTGAATTCATCAGCTGATTACAATTAAAATTAAAATAATTAATTAATTAATACGTAAAGTATAAACCATTCGACCGGTTGTGTTTGTCAAGTTGTACAACAAAAGCAAGCATTGAAATAAAAAAAATTAAATCAAAGTTTTAAATTGCCCAGAACCAATGAAGCACTAATTGGTACATGATACTTAGCATGTCAGGTTTTTATTTGACTAACTGTTAATATAGGAATTAAATACTTGCAACCAACAGTAAAAAAAACAAAGTTTTAGAAGTTTCTAATCGCTCACAACACATCCCATAGTAAACTTATTTACTGCTTAAACTGTACATACTCTAGACATAAATAATGAAATGCAGAAGTAGAAAATATATTAAGTATAGCAAAGATAATAAACGTTTAAACAAATTAAAAATACATATAATATTTATAATGAAAATGATATAGGCTATGTAAACACATCACTGACAATTTCATGTCGTGTCCCACAATAACTATGTAACATCTACAGTAAGTGAATGTCCAACCCTAACAATTTATCAGCTCAGTTTTTCAACACTGCCAGCACTGATCACGTCTTTCACTGTCCCAACTTACAAATAAAATAAAATCAAGACCTTTACAGTATTGTCATAACCCCACCCCTCCCCCGTCCCTCCGTCACTATCATCTTTGGGCACAGTATCAGTCTTTTGTTTAAGAGATCCACTGCTCTTTTTAGAGTTTCGGGTATTTGGAATAATTGTTACATCATTGCCCGTAAATACTTTTTAAAATTATTAACAGAAAAGTATTTTAAATTAAAACATAATCTAAGGGACATAACTCATGAATTACTTATACAGCTACAGGTTCCGTAAGTTATCCCTCTTTGTTCTCTCATCCGTTTATTTGTAAAATCGTGTTGCATAATTTACAGTTTTTCTTTTGTCCTAATTTCTCAAGCTCTTTCTTGTCGTGTTTCTGTTCCTTTCCTACATTTTAGTGTTCTTTTTCATTTGTTTTATTCTTCATTTTCATTGTTTTTTGGGTCTTTTTTTTGCAAGCATTTTTTACTCCGTAGGTTGTTGTTTTATTCAGTCATAGCTGTAAAAATGCCTAGGACGTTCGTGACGTCCTCGGATCTTCTACAATGACGTCACTCAGATCTACACTGACGTCACTCAGATCACTTAATTTGAACTTTTAACTAAAAGAAATAAAATAAACACGTTAAAATTTGACTCAACACGCCAACACAAAGCTGAACTAAAGCACATACAATAATGTCACAAAAATGTCACAAAAATGTCACAAAATGTCACAGTCCTGCATGAGAAATGTCTTTACGAGCAATAAATGTTGTACAGAGACCAGCAGGCACAAGACACAGCTTCTCTCAGCCAACGCTGGGTTGGAGAAAGTTTTATGGGCTCTAAGTAGGGCCCGAGCTACAACCTCCTATCATATGGACCTGTGGCCAGAGGTTCAAACCTACCCAGTCCATGGAATCCACCATATGTAATTGCAGCGCTAGAGTTTCAAACCTATCCAGCCGAAACACTAAAAAAAGCAGGTTTAAACCTACCTAGTCCAAGCCCTAAAAAAAGCAGGTTTAAACCTACCTAGTCCAAGCACTAAAAAAAGCAGGTTTAAACCTACCCAGCCCGTGGGATCCACCCTCTGTAATAGCAGCGCTAGATCTTCTCTCAAATCTAAGTGTTCCAGCCTCCATCTTGGATCTAATTGAAATATAGTCTTTTGAATTTATACATATAAAATATGCGTGTGTGTATAACTTATAAATGTTTGTATATAATATTTATATGTATGCGTAGACACCATTTGTATATTTATTAATCTTCTGCATATGTGTATGTTTGAAGATCCATGTATTCGTGTGTGTGTGTGTGCGTGTATATGTTGATATTGTTGTGTAAATGAAAGACCTCAGGTCAGACAAATCTCTGGCACCCATGTCCTGCAGACTCTGACGAAGGGTTGCCATCAGGGTCGGCACCAGCTGGTGGACAGATCCGGTCACCTCCACCTGTCCGGACACGCCCTGGGGTACCAAGATCTTGGTGCCTCCACTGTGGGAGGATGGTAAAAAAATTTCTTCACTGAGGGTGTCACATTTAAAGCCTTGATTAGACTGTCATATGAGGACACACTGACACACTACACACCATGATCAGGCTGACTGATTAGCACACACTGACACACTGACACAAAAGTGGTTTTGCTGACCTACGACCTACCACAAATAACGTTCCTGGGATGCACTATTTCCCATGGCCTCAATCGATCCCATCCCCCTGTAGTTTCTGATCTTCTTCCCCTCGACCATCTGCACGTCACCAGGTGCCTCCTCACACTGGGCAAATCTCTTACCCATCATCACTGTAGGACATAGGACATACAGTATAAAACATCATCAGTGTAGGACATAGGACACCACAGTATAAAACATCATCAGTGTAGGACATAGGACACCACAGTATAAAACATCAGTGTAGGACACAGGACATACAGTAGAAAACATTATCAATGTAGGACACAGGACGCCACAGTATAAAACATCAGTGTAGGACACAATAGACCACAGTATAAAACATCATCAGTGTAGGACATAGGACATCACAGTATAAAACATCAGTGTAGGACACAATAGACCACAGTATAAAACATCATCAGTGCAGGACATAGGACATCACAGTATAAAACAACATCAGTGTAGGACATAGGACACCAGAGTATAAAACATCAGTGTAGGACACAATATACCACAGTATAAAACATCATAGGGCTGTGTGTATTTCTATCGCTAGGGGTATAGACAGTTGTGTGGGTAGGTCTGTGGACAGGTCTGTGGGTAGGTCTATAGTAACGGGATTGTCTTTGTTTTTTTTTAAATTGTTTATATAAAACAAATAATTCCAATTCCAATGTAAAAGTTTTATTATTTTAAAGAGGGAAATGGGCCCCTAAATGCCTTGAGCCTCTATGCCTTGCTTACGCTACATTTACGGTACTACGCCACTGATGGTGACCAAACGAAAAACGTGTACACGGCGAATCCACAATTAGAAAACAAAACAATTTTTTTTTTAAATATTAATAGTTCAAAACTATAAAAAATTTAAATTTACAAGATCCCGTAAAAAACGCAAAATATATATATAATAATGGCGCCATAATAAAATTGCCCAACCCCTTCACATCCCCTACACACATCCCAAAATCCACCCTAACAAAAGAAAAAAACACCTGTTGACGCCCCCAGTGCCAGAGCTATGGTCATGTGACCAGTGTTGGAGATGCCACCATCAGCTATCACAGGAACTCCTCTTTTCTTGGCGTACCTGGCCACGTCATGCACAGCTGAGGCCTGACCCCGACCCACGGCCATGACTGTAGAGAAAAGTTGTTAAAAGACAACAATTCGACAGTTACTATGTGATCAATGACAAATGTATAAGCAACCGTAAAGAGTAAGATAGCAAATAAAAGCGGTCAGTTTCACATCCATGAGAAATCACGTGATTCTAGGCCACGTCCTGTGGTATTACGTGACTCTGGGTCATGTCCTACCGCATCACGTGACTCTGGATCATGTCCCACCGCATCACGTGACTCCGGCTCATGTCCCACCGCATCACGTGACTCTGGAGCATATCCCACCGCATCACGTGACCTTACCTTCCTGTGTGGTGCAGATGGAGCCACTGCCCATGCCGACTCGCAGACCGTCCACGCCAGCATTGATGAGGTTCTTGGCCTGCTCGACTGTCACCACTGGTGGTGAGACAAGAAAATATTGTGTCACCACTAGGGGTGAGACAAGAAAATATTGTGTCACCACTGGTGGTGAGACAAGAAAATATTGTGTCACCACTTGGGGTGAGACAAGAAAATATTGTGTCACCACTGGTGGTGAGACAAGAAAATATTGTGTCACCACTGGGAGTAAGACAAGAAAATATTGTGTCACCACTGGGAAGTGAGACAAGCCGGGTTTTTTAAAGATATCTAAACAACGCCTTTGCGACTTTTAGCAACCCAATTTTTCAGCAAGGGAAATTTCGCCGGAAGTGAGACAAAATCTCTGTTTCCCCTAAAAACTAATTTCCACCAAAACCTCTTTTCCCACTAAATATTTAGTTCCACCACAAAAACACACCTTTTCCACCAAAAAAACTCACCTTTTCCACCAAAAAAACTCACCGTTTCCTCCAATAACATCTACCCCAGGATGTTTCTCCTTAATATATTTGATGGTTTCAATTTGAAAACTTGAATTCCCTTGCGATGAGTCCTAGAATCACGACAAATAAACATCAGTCACGTATAAGCATGAACTCATCGAGAAACGACAGATAAATTAAAACTAAGTAAAACTAAAATCGTGTGTTAATTTATTTTTTAATTAATAAAATCAAATGCAGGGTAGTTTGTCGTGCATAATGACATTTTGTCGATCTTTCACCGTCCTCGGGTTAGCTTATAAACAACATCGACATCACCTAGAGGTAACTTGTCGTGTCTTACAGATAAATGTGCCACATCCAAGAGGTAAATATAGCACATGTCACGTACAGGTAAATCTACCACACATCACCTACAGGTAAATCTACCACATGTCATCTACAGACTACAGGTAAATCTACCAAACGTCACCTACAGGTAAATCTACCACATGTCACCTACAGGTAAATCTACCACACTTCACCTACCACGACGATAAAATCAACTCCCGCAGCAACCAGCTTGTCAATCCTCTCCCTGTCCCTTACGTGTGTACTGACCGCTGCCCCCACCACCAACTCACCCCTGCAACAGTTCGATATTTCTAGAACACTCAAATTACAATAACAAATACTAGAGGTGGATAGGTTTGAAACAACTTATTTTACAATGATCTTTTTCCTTCGTCTTGCAGTTGGCTAATTGAAACTTATATAAATAAATGCGTAGATAACTTACTTAAAATTTATCATAATATTTGGAAACTTGACATCTTCTCCGCGGATTTCAAAATCCTTAGCTGATTGTTGCTGTTGAAATCAATAGATGGAATGATGAATAGTGTAAAATACACTTACACTGAATAGATGTAGTACAATTTTGTGCACCTAAACCGCACACCACCTTTTCTATGGCTATAAGACAAAAACGGGACATAGTTTACCCACATTACCACATTTCACGTTACAAAACTCTCCATATTATAAAATTACTCCAGATCCCATCACTGGGACCCCTTGTCTTCCACAGAACAAGAGCTATAAACGCTGGTTTAATGTTACTAAAGTTAGCAATCATGACATATTTTACTCTTTAAAAAAAAAAAAGGAACAGAAAATAAGTAACTTTTTTTTTTAAATATCGATATGGTAAACGCTAGAGTGTAATAACACAACTCCACCACCCCGCACCCTGGGTATTATGTCATGTGTCCAAAGTCATCTCCCACCAGTACAATCATCATTAGGAAAATATTAATTGGACGTTTATACGTTAAACAACCAGACCCCCCCCCCCCCAAAAAAAAAATATATTTTTTGACCGGAAAGAATTATCAAAAAATAAAAAATAAATCTTTATCTGACCTTGACCTTTCGGACATGCTCAACCTGCTCGTCTGGTGTGCAGTTGCAATGTATTACCCCTACACCACCTTCTTGCTGCGAGAAAAAAAAAAAGATTTTTGTTTCTATTGGCAATCATCAAATCACATAGGCAATTTTAATTATTTACAGAGTTTCTTTCAGGCCCCTCTTTTCACCTACGTCCCCCCTCCCCACCCCCGAACGAAATAGAATTTATTTTAAAAAACTAGACTTCTACCAGTTCCCCCCCCCTCTCCCCCCCCCCCCCCCCCCCCACTTTCTGGAAAAAGAAGTCTGAAAGAAACACTGCTTACAGAAAAACACTCTAATAAGATATGAAATAGTGACCTCGTTACACACACCTAGCTAGTTGCGCCACTCTTTGTATAGACACACTTGACCATGATGGTATACATCGGAAATTTTGAAATACCAACCCTGCGGAACGACCTACTTACTGCCATAGCAGCCGCCATTTTGGATTCGGTGACCGTATCCATGGGAGAGGAGACAAATGGGGCGTTCAGTTTAATATTTTTTGTCAGCTGCGTCGTCAGGGTCTGAAATTATTTATTCGTGTATTTTCGTTAAATAATCTACTGAAAATATGAAATTAACTTTTAAGAAAAATAGAACATCCTTTTTTTATATTTGTTTAAAACTTAAGTAAGAAACAAAGTAACAATAAGTGGCAAGTTACGTACAACATCTTCAGACGGGAAGTCAATATAGCCAGGTAGAGAAATGATGTCACTGAAATAAAATTAAGCTGCCATAACAACAAAATGACAAGGAAAGCCCTGTATAAAAACAAAATTAGTTTACCATTGGAATCAAACAACAATGATAACCCAGTTTAATAAGAGAATTAATTCAATGTAGCAGTTCAACTACAAAATTTAATTAAAATTAAAACACGATTTTAAACTCCTGTGATCTTTACACGAAAACATAAAAATATTAAAGAGCTGATTATGAAATTAGCTTAATTAATTAAATAATATATTTAATTTTTTAATTGAGTAACTAATAAATCAGCCTAAATATTCACACATTTTGAAAGTAGGTGCTATTAATATCTAATATGACGTGATGTTATAAGTTTTCCAAATGAGCATGTTGTACTAACTTGTAGGTCAGACTCTTCCCTTGGGTCATTAGCTCATCCGCTGAAAGACCGCTGCGATCCATCCTGGCGATGGGGGTTGAGAATCAAAGGATCGGGCTCTATCGTTTGAGATACTGTCACAACATCGTGTGTGGGGTGTAAGATTATGTGTGGTGGGAAGAGAGAGTGTATGTGTGTGTGTCTGTATGTGTTTGTGTGTGTGTGTGTGTGTGTGCGTGCGTGTGTGTATGTGTCTATGTATGTGTGTGTGTGTGTGTCACCGTTGGAGAAAACAACGCTGTAGATGATACGTGAATGCTTATATCACACTAAAGCAATCAAGTGTTTCTACCCCACACGGTGTTTGTAAATTTAACAAGTGAAATGTTTTGTTTATTGTTAGGAAATAATTCTTATATTCAAATAACAAGATCGCCACATTCAGTGCGGTTCGCAGGGTAAACCTACCGAGGTTTTGTCACAGACTTTGAACGAGTCCGTTGTTGTTCTTTTTTTTTTTTTTACAAAAGCCAAAAACGTCTTCCAACCTTAAAAACTGGTCGAACCACGTCGATTGCTGGTCTATAACTTGGCAGCATGACGGTGTTATGAGCAAAAGATCGCAGCGATCTGTACCTGAGATTGTGTGGGTGGCGCCCTATGAGACCAGAAGTCAGATCAACCTATACAACTTACCTGTCGATCGATTGACCCGTTCTTCGATTTCTGTAGACCAAGAGAGTCCCAGACACGATCGTACGATCGACTGATTGACCTGAGACACGGTTTTATGATTGAGTGTTTGACCCAGGACACAATTTTATGATTGAGTGTTTAACCTTAGACTCGGATTTATGATTGAGTGTTTGAACTTACACACAATTTTATGATTGAGTGTTTGAACTTAGACACAATTTTATGATTGAGTGTTTGAACTTATACACGGTTTTATGATTGAGTGTTTGACCGTAGACACAGTCTTGCTATCAACTGTGTGATTGTAAACGTTGTACCACGATCGACTGTCTGAAACGAGGGCCTACGAACCGCTTTTCAATTTGAATACAATTCGATTTATCCGCGAAAGTTAATTCGTGCAACTGTTTATAAGATTACAAAGTCACCTCACCCCCCCCCCCCGTCCGTCCGTCCCCCAAATGGATGAGTGACGTCATTCACGACCCGTCCGTAAAATTACTCCAAGAGTGCAGGTCGACTGAGCAAAGTCCATTCTTATCAAACAAGTCAGGATTGTCTGCATGGCAGTTAGTGATCCCTTTCCTACTGTCAAGATTTATCTGTCCCTGTCAACTGTTTGTGTTATCTAGGATTAGTAGACCACTTAAAAATTAACACGTCCAAAATTGTTCTAGAGACTGACACTGATTTTAAACGTAATTATACTTTGAGCGAATTCTACTACTTTATCAATGGTAAACTAAATATAAATAGTAAAACACTTTACAATTAGATCAGTTTTAATGGCTGTTGTTAATAGAGACTTGAATTTCTAAAGATATTTAAAGTTGTTGGTTTTTTTTTTGGCTAGTTAATTATGTGGTGTATAAAATGGTTGCTTACCGTGTTCCAGCACTAACTGACGAGGAGTTCTGTGGGCTCTGCGCTATCAATGTCTTATATACATATACATATACATATACATATACATATACATATACATATACATATACATATACATATACATATACATATACATATACATATACATATACATATACATATACATATACATATACATATACATATACATATACATATACATATACATATACATATACATATACATATACATATACATATACATATACATATACATATACATATACATATACATATACATATACATATACATATACATATACATATACATATACATATACATATACATATACATATACATATACATATACATATACATATACATATACATATACATATACATATACATATACATATACATATACATATACATATACATATACATATACATATACATATACATATACAT